AGATCCCGTGCCGGTCTGTTTCCGGCGTGCGTCATGCCCGGCTTAACTGTCTTATCGATGACATTAAATATCATCGAAGAACTCGGAGACCATCCGCCGAATCCGTCGATTGTGTCTGCACTAGACGCTGTCGATCGCGTCACAGCGAGAAATTCATTGTAGTATGGACTTTTGTCACCCGCAAAACTCGAAGGGTTTTTGATTATCGTTTTTGCCAGAATTTGAAGAAATTGAAAAAGATTTCGCCCACAAAATGTTCAGTATACAACCTAATACAAACTAATAGATTTTTAAGGACGATGAAATCCGTCGAAACATTTCAACGACGATTTAGTTTCGACGATAAATGGATTTGTGAATTAAACTTTTTTATTATTCGTAACATTTACAAAATATTTTTCTTCGATGTTCTATCGTCAATTATCAAAATAGCATTTTTACGAAATTTTTTTATTGAAATTTTTTTTATTTTCTTAAAAAGAAACAGAGTACATAGATCGAAATGATATTAGACGCACGCGTACTTTCTCGATGTGGTTTATTATAAAATTAACGCTGAACTATTGACCTTTGCCAAATAATAAAGTATGCTGAACTTGCGAGATCTCAAAGGTCACTTAACGCGCCTGCAAACGATAAACGAGCTGCTCGCTAGCCAGTAAAGTAGGTGATAACCTTTTTCTAGGCCGCAGGCTACATCTTTTTTATCTTCATCTATTCGTAGCAGCTATTCGCCATCGTGCAGAAAAAGACGTAAAGAGGCGAAAAAAAAAGCATGCATTAAAGAGCACTTAGTAACGCTTATGCAATGAGACGCTATTGTCTGGAAAGCTCTGCAATTAATCAATTATCTTACGTACGCGCGACATTATTAGTTAAAAGCTATTTTCAAAAAGTTACCGATGGCTTTTCTTATTTATAAAAACATTTGGTATCGCAGCAAACTAATGCGACGTGAAAGATTGATCGGTGATATTTTTTTCACGACCATAACTCAAGTTTATATTGAATATATACGAAACTTGATATATTTTCTACGAGTGCGCTTGATGTTTTACGAACGCGAATTGAAAAATAAAGAAAGATTCCGTAAATTTTGAGGGAAAGCGAAAAAAATATTTTCGACGGATTTTCGATAATTTTATTTCTGTAACGATATTTACAGTATTACGCTCAAAAGGATCGATCCTCCGTATCTATAATATAATAGATCGTGCAATTGAGAAAAGTAATTTTTCATTTTTCGCGGGATTCATCGTTGCTTTGAAATGGCCGGAAAGATATCTAAAAAGTCCGATTTAAAGTCTAAATTAAATTCCATAGGGGCGGGGCGATGTGAACTTCTTGCTATATGGCGGCAACTACTGCTACGAGCATGCACCGCGCGCGGATGTTCGTATTCGCGGTTACGCCAAAATGCGCAAGAAAATATGAACGTTCATCATTGGAGCGGAACCGGAAATCCCCCACGCGGATATATATTCCCGGTACGGATTCTGCTGAGTGAGGGGCGGATATGGGTGGGCAGAAGGCAGAGTTGCTTAAATCTGCCTGGAGTTAGGACAGGACTTACCGCCAAGACGCGGCCCGCAAATGGCGTTCAAATTAATTTCAACAAAGTTCGTAAATTATTAATACCCGCCGGGCCGGCGGCAGTGCTGACTCGCTTGTTCCCGGCTAAATGTGCTGTTTAATTAGGAAATCCGCGATTGTGGTAAGACCTGAGGATCAACGGGTTGTCAACGGTTTTACGTTACGTTACACGCCACCACGTGAGCACCATGAGCACCATGAGCACCATGAGCACCTTTCCGCGCGAGCTGCTGGCCGCCTGCCACGCAGGTGAACTGCCGCAAATATATCTCGCACCAGCCAGTGAAACGAGCTTAAAACTGTTCCGGCAACGCCACGCAATGTCGTGCATTACTCTGTGTGTGTTGCGCTCACGTGCAATTACGTGATATGATGCGGAAGTTTGTAAAACGGTTGTAGCACGGTTGTGAAATCGTTACCATAGGAATAATGCTTCCTATGTGAGTTCTTTTCTCACTATTAAAGCAACTGCAGTTGTGAAATTGCATTGTGTTTTAGATTCAAGCGTTAATCAAGCGACATTTTGCAGATTAGGACGTGACTGACATATGTCATCGCAACTCGCGTATGAAAGTTGAACGGAAATTCGAACAATACCATTTCCTCTTCTCACACGTAATATATGATAGTTTACGTAGCGACGATCGCTCTTGTAAAAACTGTCGATTGCCAATCTCTCGCCGAAATAGCCACGTCTGACAGCGGGGTATCTTCGCCGGTATAGAAATTGATCGCCGTAAGTGAATTCGTTTCCCAAATATAACGGGAGACGTAGTTGGAATACTTGGTGACTCTAAGAATTTTGAGAGCACGGCTCATGAATGCAAATTAAAACGTTTGCCGCTTCTGCCGCGCATCTCTTTCCCAGTGCCTAGCCTTTCCCGGTATTATTTGGCTTCTCTTACAAATGACGTTCAAAAGTCGATATTCGTGCCGGACGACGCAAATAAATAAAAAGTCTGACATGTATAAATAACGTATTTACAATGGGAAAATTACAAATTGTAATTTTTAAATTTTATAATCCTAGGTAGAAGCTGTCGATAAATCTAGCAAAGCAATTAGTGGAAGAGCAATTGCGTGCGTTACATAATTAACTTACAGCAACGATTTTTGATTTTCACGGAGTTAATGTACTTTTAATCGAATACCGTTAGATACACGGTCAACATAGCTTCGCCTTGTGCAAAGCCATTGCATACTATTTTCACGACATTAGATGCCCGCAAAATCGTAATGTCCGCTTCTACCTTCTGCTTTCTTTATTTTTGCGGCGTGCGCATTCTCCTAAGTTTCTCCGCAGATATATACGGCACCACGCAATGCTCAACAATAAGAAAGCTTTAGACGGCAGTGGCCATTATGGCACGGCATAATGCACATTTCCAGTCCGACATTTCCAATAATATGCCATCGGAGTGAAAATTATGCATTGGCGAAACGACCAAGAAATGATAGAGAAAATTAATGGGATGCAGCAATTTTTCCATCTAACGATAAGAATAAATATAGCAATATTGAATTTTTATACGCCCTTACTCGAAAAAATCTTTATGCTACTTGAAATATTCAACGGATATAGATTTAGATATATATCTCCTTAACACATGTCACGTACATTACTGTAGACACAAGTCTCAAAGCGGAAATCGAGCTAAAAATGACGTTAAGAGAACAGATCAAAAAGGAAGAACGTACGAGTACAGCGCGAACGATATTTCCAATATTCTCGTAGCAATGCAAAGTTCGAGATGAGTACGCTTCTGATACAAACACTCATACAACATTCATG